CAAGCTCAGCAGACTGCTGCAGCGCTGCTACGATTTGGCGTCGGCGATTTGGATTTTGGGGGGATTTCCGACTTCGCACTTCGCAGCTCCGACTCCTCACTCCCCAGTCTTCAATTTTCAAAGGTATGTTTGTACTTTCTAGCGATTTCTATTTTCTAGCGATGGAAATGAATTTGATGAAGATTTCTAGTTTGAAGTGTTGTACTATTGGGTGTTTCTGGTCATTTTCTTGGGTTCGAAATCTACTATAGTTGTTGTTTTTGCTGTTTTGCTGCCTGTGCTGTTCTGCTGTCCACTTCTCGACTTTGCGAAGTGCGAAGTCGGAAATCGCCCCAAAATCCATTTTTGGATTTGTTCTGTTCTGTATCTGTTCTGTTCTAATTTGCGATGTGCTGTTCTGTAATCTGTATTTGTTCATTTTTCTGCTATCCAGATAACTCCCTCAATCAATAGTTCAATACAGTAATTCTTGACACGATAACGAATGAGGATGAGATGATTTGAGCTATTTCATGTCATGAATATGTTCTTCTCCACGATTGGTTTATGTATTGAAACTGTGAAATGTATTAGTTCTAGCTTCATTATTTCCTTGTCAGGTTATTAGATCTAGAAACATAAGTTATGTTAGGTGTTTACAAATTACTTTATAACAGTTTCTTTTCATTCATCCTTGTGTCTGCTTAGGTAACTAGCATGCTAAAATCTGTTTGGCTTTCTTGTTAAGTTGGCATATGAAACACTGTGAATGGGGCATGATACCAAATTAGGATTATGAGATAGTATTTGAACTAAAAATCAGTATTTAAACACGATATTCAATTAAGGTGTTTCTGCTCCCACTTTTCTGCTCCCTTTGATTATATTTGTAACCTTGATCAACTTTGTAAATAGCTAAATGCCTATGATTGTACCCCATGATTGTTAATTTGTGTTTATATTTGTTTAATTTTGTATAGATGGCAGATACAAGTAGAGTAAGTGATGCTGGTTCAAGTGAAAGTTTACCTATTACGGTAGATAGTAACACCAACACCATTGATACCCAAGATTCCAAAAAAAGGAAAGCCATGCAACCTAGGTCTGACGTTTGGAACCATTTTGATAAATTTGAGGTTAATGGGGTTGGGAAAGCACGATGTCGATATTGTAAACAAGCCTATGCGGCTAATTCATCTAGGAATGGAACAACAGGATTGAAGAATCATTTGCTTAGATGCAAAGAATACCCACTTAACATTGATAAAGATAATAGTCAAACAAAGATAAATTTTCAATCTTGCCAAAATGACGAAGGATCAATTTGGAAATTTGAACAAGAAGTGGTTAGGAGGGCCTTAATTGAGATGATAGTTATTGATGAACTACCATTTAGCTTTGTAGAAAATGAAGGCTTTATGAAGTTTATGAGAAAAACTCAACCATTATTTCGTCTTCCTTCTCGAAGAACAATAACAAGGGATTGTTATGAAGTTTACAATGAAATGAAGCAAAATCTAAGAAAGTCTTTTAGAGAAGCACAACCAAAAATTTGCCTCACAACAGACACATGGACTTCACTACAAAGAATAAATTATATGTGTTTGACAGCCCACTTCATTGATAAGGATTGGAAGTTGCATAAAAGAATACTAGATTTTTGCCCTATTACTAGTCATAAGGGTGAAGAGATGGCTAAAGTTATTAGGGATTGTTTGCTTGAATGGAAATTAGACAAGGTTTTCACTATTACCGTGGACAATGCTTCTTCAAATGACGTCACAGTTAAAGAATTGTCTAAACAGTTAGATATGTGGAAAACTAATATGATGAGTGGTAAGCATCTTCATGTGAGATGCATGGCTCATATACTAAATCTAATTGTGCAAGATGGTTTGAAAGAACTTGATGCTTCTGTGACACGTGTTAGAAATGTTGTGAGGTATGTGAGATCTTCGCCTGCAAGGACCTTAAAGTTTAAACAGTGTTGTGCACATGTAAAGGTAGAATGTACCAAAACATTGTGTTTGGATGTTCCTACTAGGTGGAATTCCACCTATTTGATGTTGGACACGGCACAAAACTTTGAAATGGCCTTTGACAAGTTTCATCTTTTTGATGATGGATTTTCTGCTTATCAATGTTCTCATGTTTGTGAAGATGGTAGTAGTGCAGGTCCTCTTGATTCTGATGATTGGGTGAATGTGAGGAATGTAATAGAGTTTCTTGCAAGATTTCACGAGCTAACTAAAAAAGTTTCAGGTTCACGTTATGTCACTTGTAATTCTCATTTTGAGGATGTATCTGAACTTTATTGTCATTTGAAAATGTGTTTAGCTAGTGAGGATGAGCATTTGAGAAAAATGGCTGAGCGAATGCAAGAAAAGTTCAAGAAGTATTGGGGTGAACCTGAAAAGATGAATAAAATGATTTTTATTGCTTCTGTGTTGGATCCACGTAACAAATTTGAATATGTTGAGGGAGCACTTGAAGAACTTTTTGGGGAGGAAAAAGGGAAGAAAATAAATGCTGAGGTGTATGCTTATATGAATTCTTTGTTTGGAGAGTATCTAAAAAATATTCAACTGGATCTTGTCCTCAATCTCCATCTAGATCTACTTCATCTAGCAACACATCTAATACATCTAGTGGGAGTGTTATAAGTGCATCAAAAATAAGGACTAAGCTTAGCTTGAAGAAACAAAAGGAAGACAATGGAAGTGGGGGTGCTAAATCGGAGTTGGATAAATACATTAGTGAAGAACAAGAACCTTTTAGTGAAGAATTTGATATCTTGAGTTGGTGAAAAACACATGCTCCTAGATTTCCTATTCTTTCGGAGTTGGCTCGTGATGTGTTGGCCATTCCAATTTCTAGTGTGGCGTCGGAATGCGCATTTAGCACCGGTGACCGTATTCTTGATTCATTTAGGAGTTCATTGACTCCTAAATGTGTGCAAGCTCTTATTGTGTTCAAGATTGGCTTAGAGAAGAGAACAATCCTATTAGTGTTGAAGAAGACTTGAAGTATCTTGAGGAACTCGAGCTTGGTAAGCTTTAATATTTTGCGTGTATTTTAGTTCAAAATAATATATCATGCTTTTTCATTTGTATGACATATTTGGTCGAATTATCTATAGATATGAAAAATAATGGAAGCACTACTAGCATTGTTTGATGTATAGTTGCAACTTGCATCTTGAGTGGTAAGTTTAATACTCTATTTGTTTGGTGATATACTTAATACTTTTGTAGTTTTGTTTTGTTATCATCAAAATATTATATTCTAACTTATGATTTATATTTTTTTTAGGTTCAAGCATTGTGGTCAAGTCTATAATGTGTAGTTGTGTACAGATGCAATTTGGAGTTGGGCAGAATTTGGCAAACTTTGGAGTTGTGTACAGTGCACTGGCGTTTTTGTTCACTGTACAGTGCACTGGTGTTTTTGCTGACTGTTGACTGTTGCTGCAACAGTGTTGCTGTTGCATCTGTTAAGTTCTTTACCAAATGTTGTTTCAATTAGAAATATGTATTGTTTCAATTTCAAACGTTGAACAGTGTTTGTACTTTGTAATTGTTAATTTGTTAGGTGTTTGAAATTGTTAATTTGTTAGGCGTTATTAGAGCTTGAAAGACTGAATGTGCACTGCCCCACTGTTATTAGTTTATTACTTTAACAGTGAATGTACTTTGTAATTGTTAATTTGTGAATGTGCACTGCCCCACTATTCAACGTTTATTACTTTACAAGTGAAACTTTGTGAATGTGCACTGCACTGTTAGGCGTTACCACTGCACTGTTAGGCGTTAGCATTGATTATTTAGCGATTATTAAACCGAAACCGTACCGAAACCGTACCGAACCAAAATAAGAAAAACCGAACCGTACCGAAATATTTTGGTATGGTATTTGGTAATACACAATTGATAAACCGAATACCGAAATACCGAACCGAAATTATTAAATACCGAACCGAAGTACCGAATGCCCACCCCTACTTTTTTCAACCATGCATGTCGAACAATTTTAAAGGGAACAACGTATTCAAAATTTTCTTACTATTTTTTAAATTTTTACTACTATAGAGTTGTCTTGTCTCATGTTTTCTTTTACATTATGTTTATGCCATAAGGATTGGATGTGCTCTTTGATATTTATACCCCTATTCTTTTATTTCTTGAATCATTTTTTAACATTAATCATAAATCATACTGAGATTTGATAATTTTTAGAAGCAAAAACCCCTTGAACTAACGTTTTGAATGATTTCAAAACATTGAAGCATTTTAGTTCTTGCCATTTATCATTCATCATTTTGAGGTTGTAATTCTCTACTTTAACAAATAATTTTGATAATAATTATTTCATTTTAAAAAGTTTGTATATATAGATATCGGATACACGTGCAAAGCACGTGTCCCAGAAACTAGTGTCTTGATACAGACGTACATTGGTGTTTTTTCCAATTACAAGAAAGTTGAAGTACTCCATGGCAAACTATTTGGCGG